AATGCAGCTGGGCCTGGAGACGGGTCTGTAGGAGGTGATGAAGGTCAAAGAGGTCATAAAGGTGAGGCTCAGGACAAAGCCACTCCGCCACCACCTGATCCCAGACTTCCACCTGCAGAACTGCAGGAGGTTGGCTGCTCTGGCTGAAGCCTGGGCCTGAGGCCCAGAGGGACTCTGTGGAGACAGAGAACTGGAGGGAAGCAGCAGGAAGCAGGTCAAGGCCATGGAGGGGGGTGGTGAGAAATGGGGATAGAAGCAACGTCCATGGAGCAGCAGGACCAGGACACACTCGGGGACACGAAGGGCGTCTGGCCCTTCACAAGCAGAAAGCAGGGCTGCTTCTGTGAGTGGCAGGGACCAAGCCACGGCTGAATGGCTGGAGGAACCAGTGGGGTCAGGCCCTGGACACAGCAAGTGAGGGGCCTTCGAGGCCTGGGGGAGGGGCAGAAGCCATTGGGGTGGCCCTGGGGGAGGACAAGGGAAGACTGCCTTCTGTTTTGTGTTTGGGAAAAGGCACTGGTCATACGGGAACCCCAAGGCCACCCTCAGGGAAGGGGGAGCAGTGCACAGCTCCCCAGAGGCACCAGGTCCCCATCGGAAACACTCAGCAGGTGGCAGGAGAGTTAACAGGGGAACTGGAGAGACTCGTGGGCATGCAGGAAGACAAAAGGCTGCTGAGAAACCCAGGGACAAAGTCATCCGCATCCAGACCTGAGGGATGCAACATGACCAGCATCCGGCAAGAGCTGGAACCAGGCAGGCAAAAGGCCCAGCAGAGCCAGGCACGGACACGGGCTGCCTGGACCTCAGCATGGTGCAGGGAGGGCAGGGGGGGCTGACCTGGTGGCCATGCAACTCCTGGTCTTCCCCTGGGAGCTCCCACAGCCAAACCAGTCGAGGGCTGGAGGAAGGGAGCCCAGCAGAGGAGCCAGGCCAGGCGTGGGGGACCCAGCAGAGCAGTCGGGGAGTCGGGGGCTTTCTGGTTGAATAGTGTCTTCCCACAAAAATTGAAATACCTTGAAGTCCGAGTCCCCAGCATCTCAGAATGTGACCTTTTTAGAAATAGAAGCTTAGCAAGTGTCATCTGCTAAGATGAGGACATGCTGGAGCAGGGTAGCCCCCCATCCAGTGTGACTGCTGTCCTTACGGGATGACAGTCATGCAAAGACATGTGGAACTGGCTTCTAATTAACTCAGATTTATATAACCACGGTGGCTCTTGGTGACTACAATCAACATGGCACACAATAAAGAGATGGAGTGAAATTAAGGCCCATTTGAGCCGTGACCCACACTCGGGCTGTGGGGACCAGTAAGACAAGGCTTCTCTGAGCCCAGGACCCAACGACAGTCCTTAGTGTCAGGTCGGTTTTGAGGTTGGCTGAGGAACAAAGCACCAAGCAACCTGGGCCGAAAGAACCACCAATCAGGTGCCGACAGAACGGCCTGTCAGTCAGCAGGACAAGGAACTCTAAAACCCCCCTTTTCCTGTTCCAAGCCCTCCCTTCCTGCCCTAAACCCCATAAAAATGCCAGTCTGGTCAGCCCCTTGAGCTTCTCCCTGGACCCGCCCCGTTGGTCTGGAGGGTCTCCCCGGAGCGAAATCTCCATAAAGCCCCATCCCGCGGCCTTTTAATCTGCCTCCTTTTGGTAACTGGTGCCTGACCTCACAACGAGATCTTCTCTTGACCACGCTGAATGCTGCAGAGGGAGGCTGGCCGCCTGCCTGGAGGTGGTGGGTGGTGCCCCAGGGCCTGGAGGGGTGCAGGTCACTGTGGCTCAAATCCTGCGGCCGGGCTCACTTCCTAACGTCCTGGTTCCTGTACTAATCAGCAAGGTCACCGTGCCCTCCAAGGATCTCCGGCTCCGATTTCGAGTCAGCAGCTTTCTGAATGTTTAGATGCTTCCCAGATGTGCTGAAGATACCGTTCCTGGAGAAGTTGCAGGCCTCGTATTTTCGTGGAGTTTTATCCTATCATTGAACACTCCTTCCAGCATTTTAAAGAAATCCCTGGGGGGATAAGATGCCTGTTGATTAATTAAACTCAGTGACAAGCCCTTTGCCCTCCCCTGGCTTCTAAGCTAAGAGAGTCAACATCCCTAAAGGAGCCCTAATGGAGCACAGCCTGGAGAAGACATCCAGCTGCCCTGGCGTCACCATGAAGCTCTCCACGGACGTCCTGATGGCAAATGTGTTTTGGGAAACAGCCTAGTTTTCCTCCAGGCCCAGGATGCTCCCCCATCAACTCTGGGGTTCCTTGGTGGGGGAGCCATGCTTCCACACAGATTGCAGAAAAGCATGTCGGAAGGTGGTCACACACCAGGTCCAGGCCGCGTGGCCCCACCCAGACCCCAACCCCCAATCAATTCTCTTGCCAGTATCTCATGCAATCTCTCCAACATCTTTGATCTAGAACAAGCTAAAACATTTCAAATCAACCCTTCTTCCAACATTCTGTGAACTCTCCACCAGAGGTGCTTATTAAGATGCCAAGAGAAAAGAAAATAATCGTCTATAAACAGAGACGCAGATGAACTCTGAGTACAGAGGAAATCAGTGGAGAGCCCCTGCACCATGCCAGCAATAGACAGATCCCCACATGCGTATTGAAGAGAAAGACAGGAGCATGTTCCCTTTAAGAAAGTAATGGATTCCCAGCCTCAGGGCCTAGAGCCTATGGCTTTCGGGCAGGCAGAGGGGAGCTCTGCTCCCCACATGCGGGGGACCTCGGGCCTCCAAATGCAAGGAGGTCAGGTGGACACTCGTTTCCAAATAACCACACTATGGAATCAATGACACCCACCTGGCACAGTTTTCCCTGGCCTGCTGACAGGGTGCCTGCTGGCCTTTTGTTTTGGTGCCCATCTCGGCTGCCAGTGCCAGCTGGGCCAGCTGTGGCCGGGGAAGCCACCCTCCCCTTAGAACAACCGCCCCTCTGTGCCGCCCTCGTTCTCGTGCCTCTGGGTTGGGTTCCGACTTTCCCCCAGTCGTTCAGAGCTGACGGCAAAGCCCCACAGAGAAGCCTTCCTGGGATGCCACTCGGGGGGTTTGTGAATCAACCTTTTTTTTCCAACATCCATGAAGCTGGCCTTACCTCTTAAAGTCTGAGAGGTGTCTCAGGAGCACACGTGTCCAGGCAGGGTCTTCTGAGGGGGAGCTGGTCCACCCACGCCCAGGTGACAAAGACAGCAATCCTTCCCTCGGGGCCACCTCGTGTGAGGTTTCACTCACTAAAGAACATCCCCCAAAGCCTGCCTTCGCTCCTGCTGGTAACAGTCGATTACAAGACAGCAGGAAGAGCAGGCTGAGTGACGAGTGGCGTCGTCCCGCACAGGGTGCCGGGAGGGCCCCCAGTCCTCTGTGAACAGCTGAACAGGCACAGGAAAGGGATCTGGGCTGTGAGTTGTGTTCTCAGTGAAGGGAAGTCCTATTCTGTGTTATCTCTTCTGAAAGTTACAAGCCAGGTCTTGGGTGGCAGGGGGAGGGGAGAGACCAGGCTGGGCTGGTTTCGGGCTTCCCCGTGGTCCTGCGAGGCTCCCAGGTGGCAGGAGGCGCACTGTGACAGCACAGGCTTCGCTGGGATGGCGGATGCTATGTACGTATCTATCCCACTCAGCCCCCACGGCCAGCCCCTGCTCGCGGCAGGTAATTAGAGAGGAGCCTCGCTTCCCCAGGGCCTTGCTTGTGTGTCTTGGCACAATTTATGTTGTTTGGTTTTCATTAAAGGAACCCGCAGATAGCTCTTTCAAAAGCCCAGCCTGCC